GTTTCCGCGCACATGTTCACATGGGGTCACATGTGTTGTTGCGAGTTCTTTTAGAAAACTCGTTTCTGTTTTTAAATTGTCCGCTCGCACCAGCGCTGTGCTGAAGAAGGGCGCGCATAAGCATATGTATATGCACCCATATATGTGTACATGTGAACCCTTTAAACAATTTAATAACATGTAGAAAACGGCACCACTGGGAGAGTTGGTATGCCGTTTTTTTAAAACTAAAATTTGCACAAAAAGGTGCCTTTTTTTTTTTTTTTTTGTTTTTTCTCATTATAAATGGGCGCGAAACATATTATGGGCACACGCTTCCCCCAAGCAGGAATTTCCCTCCTTCCAAATGGCCATTTATATATGTGAACAGTACGTTAACCAATTACAAAATGTTCACATTTAGGTATTCTCTTTCTTTTGAACCCAATTCGTAATGTTAAATCTGCCGAGGAGGTAGCATTGAGGCTCCACAAAATTGTAAAGGGCCGCACAAGTTAAAGCCATATGCTCCAGCGCCGCCACTTCGAGAGAGCTTGCGTTGAATATTTTGGCCACCCCGTGAAGCAGAAAAACGGGCATAGCGGCAAAAAGGAACCACCCAAGTTGATTAACTCTCGTTAAGGCAAGCGGGGCCTTGCGTGGAAGCTCCTGTCGAAGCAACCTAACACCCTTTGCTGAACCTTTTTTTTTTTTTTTTTTTTTGTGCGTGGCAAGTGACGGTTTGCCAAAAGGATAGAAAACAACAAAAAAAAAAATCCTTTAAAAAGGGTACGCAGCAAAAATGCAGTAAAAAGAGAGCCATGCACAAGGAATGATGAAGTCGTGAGGAGAGTATAACAAAATAAAGGAAGTCGTGTAGGTGTAATTTGCACAAAATTGTCCCCCTTGTTCAGTTGTAGGTGTTTTCACTGAAGCATCTTTTTCTTTTGGGGTGTTTTCCATATGTGTGTGTCCCGTGGAATGCACGCGCACTAATTTAGCCCCCCAGTGGAACTTCCCAATTCTGGCGTCTGGACGTTCACCTCTGAAAATAATGGAGACCAACTCGACAGAGAGGTACATCTTCAAACCCAACTTCCTGGGGGAGGGGTCTTACGGAAAGGTGTACAAGGCATACGACACCACACTGAAAAAGGAAGTAGCCATCAAGAAAATGAAAATTAACAAAATAAGTAATTACATCGATGAGTGTGGAATTAACTTTGTCTTACTTAGAGAAATAAAAATAATGAAAGAAATAAAACATCAAAATATTATGACCGCATTGGATTTGTATTGCGAAAAGGACTACATAAATTTGGTAATGGAAATTATGGACTACGACTTGGCAAAAATTATTAATCGAAAAGTATTACTAACAGATAGCCAAAAAAAATGCATCCTTTTGCAGATTCTGAATGGCCTCAATGTTTTACATAAGTACTATTTTATGCATCGAGATTTATCCCCTGCAAATATTTTCATTAATAAAAAAGGGGAAGTCAAAATTGCAGATTTTGGATTGTCCTCCAAATATGCATATGATATGTACGTAGATACATATTCAAAAGATAAGTATAGTAAAAGGACGTTAAATTTAACTAGCAAAGTTGTAACCCTATGGTACAGGGCACCCGAATTGCTAATGGGAAGTAATAAATACAATTCGGCTGTCGACATGTGGAGCTTTGGGTGCATATTTGCAGAACTCCATTTACAGAAGGCTTTATTTCCGGGAGAAAACGAAATCGATCAGTTAGGGAAAATATTTTTTTTGTTGGGGACACCAAATGAAGACAACTGGCCTGAGGCTCTTTACCTTCCCCTCTACACAGAATTTACAAAAGCAAATAAGAAGGACATTAAAAGCGTATTGAAAATTGACGATGACGATTGCATCGATTTGTTAATGTCTTTTTTGCGGCTGAATTCTCATGAGCGCATCACTGCGGAGGATGCAATGAAGCACAAGTATTTCTTTACCGACCCCCTGCCCTGCGATGTGTCGCAGCTCCCTTTTAATGACCTGTGACTGTCTGACGGTGGAGCAGGTGAAAAAGAATACATATACGTTTATACATTTGCTTATGCGCTTAATATTTGTTTTTGTACACTTGTTTTACTTCCCTGCGCGGGTGTGTCATCACGTGGCCTCATCCATCACACCTTTCCCCGCAGTGGAGGAATCCAGTGTTCCTAATGGTGTATCCGTCCATTTGTTCCCACAAACGTTTTTTTTTAGTACTAACCTGTTTTATGTTACTTGGGACAACCCAGGGAAAAGAAAAAAATGTAAAACGGCAAACAATCATTGAAAAAATCCAGTTTTACACCCCTTTTTATGTAAAATTGTGACGAAGAATGATTTAGGGCCCTTTTTATTAAGAAAATTCTGTTTTTTTTTTTTACGTACACAAAGGATGATTCATTTTCCTTTGCCAGAAACCAAGAAGAGTAGTCACATACATAAAATAATATACAACATAATTCTTATTATTAGGACCCGCGAGTAAAATGAATTTACATGAATATGAATATTCTTACGTTACTAAAAGATACGCCCTTTTTTTTTTTTTTTTTTTTTTTTTTTTTTTTTTTTTGCAAAAATCGCTTTAAATGAGCCATGGGGCGCGACTTGTTCCTTCTTTTCCACCTACTCCCGTTTGGTGTTGTTGCGTAAGGAAGACTGCATTTTTTTTTAAATTGCCTATCCCGTCCCATTAAGAAAAAAGAGCCCGCTTACATTTATTTCCCCGCAGGTGCGTTTCCCGTAATCCCTCATAGATGGGCAGTGGTTCACTTCAGTGGATAAATAAATTATGAGTATACAATAAAATACATGCATTAAAGGGGGGATTATATTTACCTATTGGGTGTAGTTTTATATGGGTTATGTATTCTTTTCTATTTATCGCGATTTTTTTGTTCTTTTTTGGACTAACCAAGGGATGCTTTTTTATGATGATATGTAAGCTTATTTTCCCCCTATTTTACGCGTTCTATTTTAGCGTATTTGTTCATTTTTATGATAATAACTACACGCATTTTTTTTTTTTTTTCCAATTTATGCCTTTTTTCCCACTCCATTTCTGTATTGTTTTTTGGGGGTGTTGTTTTCTAAGTAAGACCCACAGTATATATAGCTGGTCGTAATCAGGGGAGCGCTTATTCATTTTGTTCAGTTATTTGAGGATGCGTGCGCAAATCTTTTTTTTTTAAGGCCAATTCCCTTTTTGTTTTTGTTCATTTCGTTTTTTTCGTCCTCTTTGCATCACGTCAGAGGTGGTCGTAGCTGCATGTGAGTACCTGTGGGCGCCAACCGGGGGATCCTCTTTCTCAGCGCGTGTGAGAACTTGCGTGGCATCTCGCGGAAGAGAGATTCCCTGTGATGCGCAGCTGTTCTCTTTTAAAGGGAAATGGGAAAGTGACAGTGCCAGGAACGGCGGTAGCAACACTCACCACTTGTAAATATACGGTCACGCGAAAGGGCAAAGCTGTAATGAAGAAATATTTATGGGTGGGAGAATGGAAGACCTCCTGAACCTGTACCCAAGGGAAAGTAAAGGTTTAAGTGAAAACAATTATGGCTTGCTTAACGGGTTTGTAATGGTCCCTCGCAGGAGAAATGAAAAGTGTGGTGCCGCTGACAATGTTAGGGAAGGAGAAGAAAAAAAGAATGAAGACGCAGCGAAGGGAGGGACACATTTTGACCATGCAAAGGAAGTAGACTCAGATGATGGTTATTATGGAGAAGACGGACTGTACGATAATGCAAATGATAAAAATAAGCTTCCCTTGGACAAAAACAAACACGAAAGGTTGATAAAAAAAATATGCTATCGTAACGATTTAAAATATTACAATTATTACATTAACAATTTTGAAAAAATAAAAAACATCAAAGGCATAAAGGATAGGGGTGAAAATCGAATTTGTGTGTTAATCCTTTGCCTAAATTATATATACTGTAATTTAAATAATGAAATCATGACCATTCATGAATTGAAAAGGCAAATAAAAAAAAACATCACCAAGACCAGAGTGTATTGCAAAAATTTAGCAAAAATTTTATTTATCATATGTAGAGAATTACAAATAAAAAATTTTACAAAAAATGATATACTGCCATATATGGAAAAGTGCATTACTACAATAATTAAGAGGCTGAAATTTGTGGAAGACAATGTGGGACGTAAGGCGGACCTCCCCCATGTGAGTAGGAGAGCCAACATTTTTGATGACATTTTCGATTTTATAAATAATGGCTGCAGTGATGACTTTGTGCTGGAGGAGGATGGGGGGCTGTTCGATGAGCATACTTCAGATGGGGAAGATCTCTTCTCAAGAGGAAAGAACAGAGACGTCCGTGATGAGGAGGTGAGCGAGGCCAATCATGGGGGCACTATCCATGAGAGGGATACGTCTGACGGGGGAATACCCCACGCATCGCTAAACGATACTGATAATACACAAAGTGAAAACTGCAGTATGAGTGGGACAGAGGGGAAAAAAAGAAAATCGAAAACACAGAAGAGAAAAAATGAAAAAGACGATGGAAATGACAGGGAAAGGAAAAGGAAAAACAGAACAACGTCGAAAGAAGTGACAAAAGATATAGACAAAAATGTGATGATTGAATTTTTGGAAAAAAATGTAACGTTGCTGTCTTTGTACTCCTGCGTGGTATACACCATATTCATTCTTTCGAATCGAATAGAAAATATGGATACCAATTTGTATAACAAGGAGAGTAGAAGGTTCGGTGGGAATTTGCATTATTTCCTGTGTTCATCCATCATCATCACTTTTGATGTCTTCAATGTAAAGATAAAGGACCAGTTTGTTTGTTACTGCCTAGGTGTTGTCCAACAGACCATAACAACGGAAAAGAAAAAAATGCTGAATTTCTTTTTAAGTATGTTTAGTGAGTTTCTTGGATTGGACGTACCCTCCATTCAGGCAGTCCCCCTATTCATGCGCATCATCTTTAGCAACTACATCCTCCTACAGATGTACTTATTTTACATCATACAAAATTACCAATTGATAAAAAAAGAAGGCTTCCTACTCTCGTTGGAGCAATTGCAAATCTTTTTAGCTAAAATGTTTGGGATTATTCACCAGACCTTTTTAAATGTAGCAGACATTTCTGTCGATTACGATTTGTTCCTTCGATCGGATTGGGTTTGTAAAAATGTTGTTCAGGTCGTTTCTCAAAATGAAGACCTTGCAACTGTGAAGAAGTTGTTAAAAGATTTAACCAAAAGTTACCCAACGGAAGAGGAAAGGAAAACTCGGGGTGAATACAGTTTTGAAGAGTCCTACCAGATAGACTTGAACCATATTGATTTGTACATCCCTCGAATGTTACATCACTGCTTGGGGATCTGTAAAGGGGAAATTCTTCCTCCAACTGATAAGCTACTTTCATGCGTTTCTGTGGGGGGAGACAACAGTGTCCTTGACCATCGCCACAAAAAGGAGGAATTGGGAAATGCGCTCGAGGTTAAGTCTTCATTCCAAAACGCAACAGCATGTGGGGAACACGCGTTTGACTATCATAGGGATGTATTCGATGAGGATGGTATGGATCGAAGTGCCTCCCTGAATGGTAGTAATAATGACGGGAAGGACGGCCCCAATACTTACGAGGAAGCTGCATGTAGTAGTGTCGCCTGCTGCACCACGTGCTATGGACCAACACGAAGTAGTAGCCCCAAGAACACCCCCTGTACATGTGCACACAGAAAAAACCCCAACAGTGAAGTGAAGAAGCAACTGAAAAATTGTCAAGAGGAAATAAAACTGAGAAGAACACACACACCCGATTTTGCAAAAGGGGATACATTAAAAAAACAAAGGGAAAGTGTGTCACTGGACTTGTTCTCCAAGCATATAAAAGTTTTAAAAAAAATAAACCTACAAAATATACACGAAATGAACATGGAGATAATTCCATTTTTTAACGTGAAGATAGTTGTGCAGTTTTTATTTTACAATGTTTTGAAGAGCATTATTTACAATTGTTACTCGCTGAGCTTTTTCAGTGTCCACAATTTGCATCGATGCGTTAGCACCAAGAAAAGCGCAAAAGATGATTCACGTGTGTGTGCAGAATTGAAAAAAAAAGGGGGGGAACTTCATAACATACCCATGTCCGTTTTTCTAAAAAACAAAATTGCCAGTAAAATCAAAGAAATGAAGGGGAAAAAATACACCTTCGAAAAATACATAATTTGTGAACAGTCCCACTATATAGAGAAGTTTAAAAATTGTAAATTCTTTGGAGAAAATGCCAGGAGATTTTTAAGTGACAAACATGTTAAATTGCACAGTGTTAAGGATTTGTTCACGAACTGTGCTGTTGAGGATGGTACGAATGACTCCCCTCTCCTAGACACTTTCAGCGAAGGTACTTTTAATGCCGCGGCTGTTCAGGCAGAGGGGCAGCAGACTCCCTTGTCCAGAAATGACAGTTTGGCCGGGAGTAGCGAAAGTGGAAGTAGAGGAAGCAGCCGTGACACTGCTCCAAGTGATCAGCGCGGAATGAAAGGAAATAAGAACAAAGTGAACCGAAGAAATAACAACAGCAGAAATGACCCCCACAACGGGAACAAAATAAAAATAGCCCTGTGCCACTACGACGTAGGCGTCCAAAATTGCAACGCTTGCCACAACAGCCTAAAGGAGGAGCCATTCAGCCTGTTCGATTATATTTACAACAACAAAAAGATGAAGGAATACAAAAATGTAGAGCAGTTATTCACCAGAAAAAACTTTACTCTACTTTTTAACATGTTTAACAATGTCAATTATCCATTCCATGGATATAAAAAAAAATTAGTAAAAATGAATGACTGTTTGTATCACACATACCATTTAATAGGCATTAAAAAAATTGCCGGCACTGGGTATAGTTTCACCTACAAAAACGAGCTAAATGACAATTATTACAAAGTCCTCAAAACGAAAATTTGTAACATTCTGTCTCTGCAAGATATTTATTTTTTGTTTAGCAGATTTTTTTATTTTTTGTTTGCTTATATCAAATCGCACTGCTGCTTTGGGGGAAAAACTGGCGACCATGTTGGCACTGCCAACGAAGTAGAGCCGTCGTCACCGCAGCCATCACAAGCATCAAAGGTCTGTACCTGTAACAAGGCCAACTGCTGTTACAAAATTAAGACCATTGTGTTATTTGGAAACGTCTAGGGGGCCCACGTGCTATACCGCAGAGCACAGCGCGTTCGCATGCCCTGCGTTTTATTTGGCTGCTTGTTACGTGTGTGCTGGCGCTTGCGTGTGTTGGTTTGTGCCCATTTGGTGTCCGTTTTGCACACCTGCTTGTCCTATGTAGGGGACTACATCTCCCTCTGTGGCTGTGCACGTATCGCCTTTTTTTTTTTTTTTTTTTTTTTTTTTCGTTTTGATAATATAAACGCGCAAGCATAATGTCTGCGTGTCTGCGGAGATAATACATGATTGTACTTATCCCACTGCACCTCATTTGCAAAAGGGGAAGGGTCTCCATTTGAAAACTTTTTTTTTTTTATTTTCCGCGCTCCATACATGTTACAACTTTTGTTTTATATTTGTTTAAATTAAAAAATACAAAAAGCTTTAAAAAGTTAAGTCTACTGTAATAAAAAGGAGGTGGAAAAAAAAAGAAAAAAAAAAAAAAAGGAGGGGAAGAAGCCGCTATACTCTACATAGCAGAGAAAATAATTAAAAAATAAACTGCAGTATGTGCCCACATACATGCGTACAGGTAACATATATGTACACGCACAGGGACAGCAATGGAAGGGGGCCCGGCTCGCCTTTACTCACAACAATAATCACGAGAGAAGGTGCAAAATGTGTGAAGCGGCTGAAGCAAGTCATCACACCAGGCAGGGGGACAAATCGTTACCCTATTCTGTCTGAACAAACATTTTATAAACAGACTATTGTCCGTCCCGCTTCCTGGAATGGTAAAAACATGAGCTGCGTGCATGAAGTGGTTGCATCCTCTCCCTCTTATCCACAAACAAACACACAAAGAGGGAGAGATAGAAAGGCGACATATGCATACGTTCACAACACACATTAATGTGGTGTCAAAACGGTGTATACACTAAAACCGCGAAATATTTAATAAACAAACCTTTAAAGGGCGGGTGAAAACATTGTGAATGAGGAAAAAAAAAAAAAAAAAGAAAAGGCATACTCGTGGCATGCCAGTCTTTCGTTAATAAAACAACAGTTAATAAAACAATTAGTAAAAACGGTTAGTAAAAACAGTTTGTATTTGTGGCGCTGCTCCTGCGGTGGAAGAGCTAATTGCACACATCCCCTTGTGAGTTTATTCGGGCGTGGAGGACATTCACGCGACATCACATCTTCATGGACTTCTTCGTCGACGTGGACACCAAACTGGTGGAGCCTTTTCTCTTCTTGGACGATTTCTTTAAACTGTCGTCAGCGGTTTTGGCCCTTCTGTCACTTCGGTCGTTATCCTTTGCATCAATGCTGGAAGATATAATCTCTACACATAAGTTGTCACTCTTTGCTTTGCTACGTCTGCTCTTATCATTCTTACTCAATGTGGATAAAGAAGACGGGGAGGGAGTGCTCAGCTTTTTGCCTTTGGATAATTTTCCATCCAAATCTAGGCTGGAATCAAATACTTCCACACAACTATTTTCATTTTCCAGATCAAAATGGCTGCTCACTCTCGACTCATTTCTACTTAAATCGTAGTCACTACTTCTCTTGGATTTGCTGTTACTTCGTTTGTTGGATGTGTTCTCAAAAATGTCACTGCTAAGACTCTCATCGTTCTTTGGAGTGCCTTTTTTCAGCTTGCCCGACGAAAGGTCCGCGTTGTTAATTATGCCACTACTGGACATTTCCTTCTCTTCACTTAAACTTGCTTCCCCCATTTTTTTCTTACTATGGCTGTTACTTCTAACTTGTGATGGAGTTTCCTTCGTTTTCTCGACCGATTTTCTCCTCGAATTATTTGAACTTTTAAATATCTCATTCGTAGAATTGCTATCCCCTATACTAGTCTTCATTGTCATTGTGCTGACTAAATCTGAACTTTCTTCTTTACTTTCTGTTTTCTTTTTTGTGTTTTTCTTTTTACTTTTTTTTTCATTTTCATCTGCGTCCAAGTCGGCGTTTGTTTCTCTATCATCTCCGTCGTCGTCCAGGTCACCATAGTCTTCCTCCATCTCCTTATCTTCTTCATCGTACAGGCTGTTCGCATTCATATCAGTGGGTTTTTCTCCTCCGGGACATGTTTCCCCACATGTTCCATCACTGAGCGGCGCTTCTACCTCCCTACTTTTTGTTTCATTCGTTTTGTTTTCTACTTCTTCCCCATCGTACGCATTTTCCCTAGTCCTCTTTTCCTCTCCCATGTCCCCCTCAAGGGCTCCCAAATTATGCGAACACTCAATTTTTCCCCCCTCTAGGGTTGTGGCCGTACTACCTGTCCTTTTCGCGTGGTGTTTTTTCTTTTGACTAGTGGTTAAAATTTCTGAGCTTCCTGGACTCCCTTCCTTAGGGGTACTACTCATCACGTCGGATTCTTTGGAAGTTATCAATTGTTGTGTCATTTTGTCGTCCCTTTCTTTCTTTACTTTTCTATCTCTGGATTTTTTGTCCCTCATGGTAGTACCTGCTCCATCGGCGGAATTCACAGCCACGTTACTCGTTGCGTTTTTTTCCTTACCGATGGGAGTCCCTACGTTGTCATTCTCGTCCATTTTTCCCACTCGTTGGGTGCTCGTCAGCAGGTCCTTATCGTTCAGTGGGTCACCGGTTGAACTGGGTTCATTCAAAATCGTCGCACTGTCCTCGTGCATCGGTAGGGTATGCCCTGAATTTTCGCTGAGCATCTCTGCTCTCACCATTGCGTTACCACTACCATTTGGAGTGATACTTGGGACGGCACTGGTGATACCATTCAGGCCGTAAATTGCCCCACCGTTTGGTCCTCCCGCATAGTTGTTCCCCGTGTTGTTTGGTGCACCGCCAGCATTGCCTTCATTGTCATTCGCGTCGTCCATTTCCACCTTATCAGATCGATTAAAACTATTGTGGTCATAATTAGTTTTGAGTTTTCGTCTTTTATCTTCATTCTTTCTTATGTATGAATTTTTGAGGTTCCCATTTCCATTGCTGTTTAGGAGTTCCTCCTTCTGATTAATGTCAAAGCTGAGGAAAAAGTCGTACAGTTGGCCCACCTTGTAACCCTTTAGTTTGAGTTCGTTAATATCCTTGAGCATATTCAAATTGCTATTGCTAATTTCCATTATTAGTAGCCTCTTGATAAGAAGGAAAAACAAAATGGGGAGTTTCATATTTTTACAAAACTCCACTTCCTTCTCGTTCAAGAGGTCCAGTTCGACAAAGGTGTCTATGTTCAATTTTTTACTATCTTCCATTTCTTCTTCCTCCTTTTGTTTAATTTTGCATTCCTTCTTATTGCTCTTCAGAGATTTCGTGCCGACCTTTTCTGTTTGTTCCTGTTGCTGCTGCTGCTGTAGTTGCAGCTGTTGTTGTTGTTGCTGCTGTTGCTGTTTGACTGCTTCCTTGGCCCTCCTGTTCTTTTCAATTTCGTACTCCTGCACTTGTTCGATGTTTTGTAGACCCAGTGTTTTCCACTCCTGCAGTTTGGTCAACCTTTGACGGAGTTTCTGCTCCTCCAGCAGTAGTTGAATGAAATATTCGTGGTGTTGAGGAGAATGAAACCTGGATAGCGGCTTCAGTGCAGTGTACAATTCTTTTTCCTCCTTGGTTCTCTTTTTATCCCTCTGCATTTGTGACTTGGTGTCCAACAGGCCCCTCTCAATAACGGTCCTCTTTCTGTAAATTCTTTCGTCCAATTTGGAGTTATAAATTTCAAGCACTTGCAGCTTTAGCTCTTTCTGTTGAGGCAAATCCGATTCTTTAAATTCCATATCAGCTAATAACAACTCCGCATCGTTATCATATTCAATATCGAAATCTCCTCTTAGTGGCCAGTACCCAATAATCTGTGTCCTGTTATTCTTCTTCGACTTGGGTTGTACATAATCATCATTTTCGTTTATATCCTTTTCTGTCACGTGTTCAATATCATATGGATTTCCATCCGGCTTTATTAGCAATCTTTTATTATCTGGCAGTGGTGCACAATTCGATTTCAGGTAAAAATTATAATAATGTTTTTCACACTCCCTGTCCGTCTTGGGAATTTTGGCAGCAGAATTCACCAGATCAGCTACCTGTTCCCAATTTCCAAAACCATATTTGCTTATCCCGTCTAGTAGTAACAGCTCCTCTTCTGCGCTCCAGTTCAATTTATACAAGGGGAAGTCATACTTTGGTATGGGTATGTAATTGTGATAATTGTAATGCTCACATTTTTCAGACTTCATTTCTTTTCCACTACTAAAACAATTTACACATAAATCAAAGTCCACACACTCGGCACACCTTATTCTAATCGCATGCGTTATATCTTTGTTACATATATCGCAGTGATAATTGCTGTCGAAAATGTCTTCTTCAATTGCTCCTTCCAAGGAAGTATTATTGCTGTTATTCACATCTAGGATGTGACCCTTCAGGGAAGATCCCATCCTTTGTATGTCATTCATGTTCTCCATAAACTCAAAACTGGTATTTCCAGCAAGGACGTTATCTTTAAACATTGGTGGAAATGGCTGTGCTACGTTCTGCTTGAATGGCATATTAGCATGCTGCGGTGGAATCATTCGCATGTGTTGAGGTAGGTTCTCCATATTCTGCATCTGCATTTGTTGCTGCGGATGGTGTTGTTGCTGTTGATGCTGTGAGTAGGCCATATTCTGCTGCATCTGCGAGAGACCCTGCTTCTGCGCATGCAGGTGCAGTGGAGGCACGTTCTGCTGCGCGTGGTGCAACATGCTCTGCTGCTTTTGCTGCTGCTGCAGGAACATTTGCTGAGGCGTGAACTGGCACTGCTGAAGCATGTACTGGTGCTGCATGTAGGGACTGTGCATCCAATCGTAAGAAATCTGCTGGGGAGTTGATGATGCTCTTGGGAAAAACGGGGACTGTTGCTGGTACATATGCATGGGGTTGCCATGCATGAATGGCGGCATGTTTTGCTGGTTCACAGGAACATGCGAGAAGGGCATGTGGCTCGGTTGTCTATTGATCGAGCCGGATATGCTTGACGTATTCATGATTTTGGCACTTGGGCCCATCTGCTGCTGGGAGTTCTGCTGCATGCCCTGCTGCATACTCGACTGGTGCTGAAACACTTGGGGCGCCACCTTCTGCGCAGAGGACGAAGCGAGAAGAGGCTGCACATTGGACTGGTTGGACGAACCAGGCGACTGCATTAGCATCTGCTGTGAATTCTGCTTGGTCGGCAGAAGGTGTGATCCCGGCAGTATGCTTTGTTGCATGTTCTGTTTGTTCGTTATGTTGTGATTCATGTTGAGGCCTACATTATGGTTCATGTTGCTTATCGGGTTTTGCAAGCTGTTTTGTTGCTCCAATTGCTGTTGGCCACTCACCGCAGGGGAATGATTCTGCTGTGTTTGGTTGTTCCCGCTGTTAGTACTTATATTGTTGTTGCCACTACCTGGGCTGCCCATATGCTGCGGCGTGGTGCTATTCTTGTAGGGATATTTCAAAGACATTGGATTTACATGGCCCGGTGGGTTGTTCATGGAGGGCATGTTTGACGTGTTGGCACTTCTTTGCGCATTGCTAGAAGGATCCATTGGGTTCATTACAGGCCTAGGCATCTTCTGCGAAATGGAGTTGCTCCTCCGGTCAAGGGAATTCATGGATGATAGCATTTGAGGAATTTTCAGGATAGAAGCATTTGACTGTTTCTGGGCACCCTGTTGGGTTGGAAATTTCGCAGAATTATTTGGCGGCATCATATTGTAGGGATGCATATTTTGCTGGTGAAATAAATGCTGTAAATGCATCTGTTGTTGAATTTGGAACTGTTGGTGCAGCTGATTGGGCATGAAATTATTTGGGGGCATGTTACTGTTGCTGCTGCCCGTACTATTATGTTGCTGTGGGTTGGTTACTTTGTTATCTCTTGCATTCTGCCCTGATGACATGAACTGGTTCTGCTTGTGCTTCAACATTCCTCCTGCTGCTTGTTTCATATTTTGCATATTATCCATAGGGTCTCCTGCACCCCCATTAGGGTTATTCATGCTATTATGCATGCCATTTTGAGCCCCATGTGGTTGTATCATATTTGCTCCCATAAACATGGCTGGGAAATTCATCATTTGATTCGGGGGCACGTTGTTCATCCTTGGGTTACCCATCGCCCCTTTCCCACTCTGACCATTCATGTGCGGCATATAATTCATATTCGAATTGCTCATTTCTGTGGGGGGTCCACCCCCCTTGTTCATTAAGCTATTCGATGCACTTCTAAGAACCCCAATCGCTTTGTTATTTTCCGCATTCTCAAAGAAGGGGTCTCCTTTTCCTGCATTTCCATCAACGTAATTTCCATTCATCATGTTGGTTGAACTGTCCTTTTCGTGATTTCCATACATGAGATTCACATCGTTCATTTTCATTTCGTGCATGTTAATAGCGTTCCTGCCCTTGTCCATGTTACTACCGCCGTTTTTGTTGTCATTCGTGTTGCCCTGCTCTTCGTCCTCCGCGTCGTGGAACGTATCCCTATTAGTATTGTGATTGTTATTATTGTTATTATTGTTGTTATCGTCGTTGTTGTCGCCACTTCCTCCTGCACCTCCAAGGCCACCTCCGCTGCCTCCGGATCCTTTCATGCCACCATACTTACTCGCGCTGTCTCCCCTATTGGGGGTGTCACCTCGGCAGTTGCTGTTTGAATATGCACCCGAATAATTATTCCCACTGTTGTCACCGCCGCTGTTGCTAATGCAGTAGCTCGTAGGATCCTCACCCCATTTGGACAAATTCCTAGGGATACTTCTCCCTACACTGTTGACAGGGCATAATGAGCCATGTGAGGGTTCCCCACACATGGAGGCCGACGATTTGTGTACATGTTCTTTTTCTTCACTGAGGGATAAAAATTCAATCACCATATCTTTACAAACCTTCTTAAAATATAACATTTTTTTTCTGCTCGGGCGAGTAACACCTGTTTTATTATGCACGCTTTGGTTTAGTATCCGTAGCTGGATTACATAACGATTAGGCTTCGCGTGGGTAAATTTATATTTGCTCCTGACCTGCTCATTCCACTTGTTGCCCTTGTTAAGGTAACTATCTTGACCTCTTCCATTATGCACACAATACAGATGATTTATTTTTTCCTTTTGGGGCTTTCTCAATACGGTTCCATTTCTACATTTCGTTTTACACTTTGCCCTTCCATACAACCAGCAAATGCTGCAACTTTTTTTGATTTGCCTAACTATACGTTTACTTAAAAAAGGCACAAAGGTGAAGGAGTTGATTCTTGCTCGTGTTTGTCTTCCCCAAATAGGATCCCCCAAAGGGGAAGCGGTACATGATGAACACGCTTGCGAACCCTGCGCAAAGCAACCCTTTTCATAACATATTTCATCACACATGGTTTTGTACAGATGGGGAATATGCCCCCAAAAGACGTAATCAATTTTTCGGTTAACATGGCATGTCCCTTTAAATATAGCAGAGGTACGTTTCTTCATTTCCCACTTGCTAATAAAAATGGGGATAAGCAAAATACGCTCTGATTTGAAATTCATTTCGAAACAAATATCATCACAGCTGATAAGGTCACGGCGAGAAGGAATGCGTTTGGGGAAAATGCCTGCAAGAATTATTCTACCCTTCTCTGATGATGCCAAACGATAAACTATTTTCATCATTTCGTATAATGACACACTCGTTTTGTCTCCTTTATGGTTTTTCTTCATACAGGTGTGCACTTTTTTTTTACACATTTCCTGCGATGGATAGTTAGTTTTTTTTACCAACTCGTATAAGTCTCCACACTTTTGAGCAGACTGGAAATAATTAATGAATGTTTTTAAAAAATGACTTCTCGTTGTCTTTCTCTGAGTGGGAAGAAGGTCTGTACGACATGTCACTTCCCCTAATATGCACAACCACAACGCGTGCTTATCACCACTAAACAGAAAATTATTAGGCAACTTGTATAAATGCTTCTTGACCCCTTCCGGAACGAATACACTCAAAAGAATGTCCTTCATCTTTATGTGCAATGAACAGGTGGGGTGCGCCAAACGGGTTGTGAATGTCGTTATATCATTTAAAAGGGCATGCTCAATCGAGGAGGGTCTTCTGCTTTGCACCAGATGGCACGAAATATTTTCTACACTTTTTGTAATTTCAGAAAAAGGCTCTTCCGCGCACACATGGCTATTTATTAGCTCGTTCGGCATATAACGACTTTCATTATAATGCCCCATAGATGTCACCCTTTCACCCCTTTTCAATCGCACACAACGAGGACTATCACTTGGGATGGTATTATTTCTGCCTCCATTTTGATCCTCTTTCCTGTGTTCCCTCCTTTCAATATACCTGTTCTTGTGTATCCCTTTATTATAATATATTTTTTTTGTTTTGTTGCTATTCCTGTTAAGCACGTATCCTTTCCCCTTTACATTGTTGCCACCTGTCGGAGTGTCACTTTGTCCATCTTTTGCATCCCACCCATAGGTACGATAATCTCCATCATGACTTGTGCATTCTTTGTTCAGGTATAGCATATGACGATTGGGAGGAAAACCCCTTTGCGAGTTTTTCTCATCATTCCTTGTTCTCACATATAGATTGTTACTACTCAGCACTTTTTCGTGGTCATGACGCCCACCATTCCATTCTCCTTTGGTTGCCCTTTTCAGATGCTCAAAGAGCAAAACCTGGATGATCACATTTTTTACTATGTTCTGGTTTAAAATTCTTAACTGCTCCTTGTGGTATTCTACACAAGCATTGTAAACTCCGAAGCTTCCTTCGTACGTTGTTAATGTGCATGGATACGGCTCATCATATTTGTATGTATTATTCATCATATGATTAAGTCGGAGAAAGGGTTTAGGTTTAGGGTTTAAGGGGGAAGGTGGTGGCGTGGCAATGGATACAATGAATGCCACTTACGTTACATATGGGGTGCACATACGTAAATAGAAAATGAGCATGTGTTGTTGTTTTTTTTTTTTTTCAATTAAATTTGTCTTCGTTTGTTGTATCCTGTTTTACTTTGTTTCGTTCTATCTTCTTCCCTTATTAGCTGTGTCGGTTTGTGTATTAATACTTCTCAGCTGCTGTCGGCTCCGCTTTGGGCACTCAATGTGGCTACGCCGGTTTCGTGCCGTTACGTTTTTCCGTACAACTAGTTTTCCACAGTGTGTTGGCACCGTTTGCCTCGTCTTCTTCCGTTTTGAACAATTTGGAAATGTTCCCCTTTTTTCCAATTTTGCAACGTTTCGGTTTTCCAACAAATATGCACCCGTTTCTCAACCCTTAAATGAAAAGTTAAAGCAGTCACAGGGAGGGGTGCGGCTGAAATCAACGCACTCAAGTTGTGCAATTCTTAAAATGTCCTTAGGTCATAAATGAGAGATTAAACATGAACAATATAAAAAAAAAAAAAAAAGGGGGGGGTTCCCTAGCATCATTCTTTGGTAAGCTAGCACAAAATCGTTAAAACCGCTGCGACAGGGGGGGGGGGTTTTAATACACGTATGAACATTTTTCTTTCCCAGTGGCCCTTCGCATTTCCACTTTTTCAGGCATCCTGCCCGTGTTGCCCGTAATATGTACGCAAAAGTATGTAAATAGTATATATATATATATATATATATGTATATATATTGTTACATATACATAATTATCCGCATACGCGTACGCGCCGGGGAGGCGGAAAAAGTGCGCCACTGGCAGGGTTTAATTGCGCGCGCAATGTATACGTATACGTACAAACATACGCGCACGTATTATTGCGTATATTATGCTTTACATATATACATGCGTATACAATTTCGTTCTTTTTTTTTTTTTTTAACTCGCGATTTTCATCCTTTTTAAGAAATTAATAACATATAAACAAGCGCGATTTTGAACTTATCTTCCTTTTATTTTTACTTAATTTTTCTTTATACGTAAAAAAAGGGAAAATGGTAATTTTATCCAAAAGAAAAAAAAGGTAAGGGTTGTTATAAAAAAAAAAAAAAATTCAAAATAGTGCATGTTAATGGAGGGGGGGCCCGGGGGGGAGTATAGTAAATAATGCCCAAAAAAAAAAAAAAACAAAATATTTTTGGGATGAAAAATGGATACGTAAAAATACATTCATATGGGAATCCATCTTACGCGTACCTTCCTCAAGCTTTATGCCAATGATATATGCCATTTATGAGCTTCCAAAGGGGCGCACGAAGAATGTATTTCGCGCAAAAGGGGAAGGAAATCAAATTGTTAAAAATGCAATTCATTTTACCCATCACTAACGTAATACGCGTGATTTGGAATATTTTAAAAATTTCCGTAAACATATACCATACAGTTAAAAGGTCGAAAATGTGAAAAGTTGTACCTGCGCCGGAATACTTTCATCTTCACAACAAAATGCGCAATTTAAAGGGCATTCTCGAGGTATGTAAAATTACTTATATAAATATATGTATATAACGTTATATGCATATACATTACATATACGCTTGGGCTTACCGCAACCGTATGCGCTTATCGATTAGCGCAAGCAGAACGTAACCACCTGTGCCATTCTCCCGCACATGTATACATACCGCCCTTCCAATCCTGCTCTCATGTGTTGACACATCTACGTATATGCAATCGTTATTTCCCCGTACACAACAAAAGGGAGCTTTATCGAATCAAATGACTGTTTTTTAAACATATTGAATTCCATACATGTAAAGAAATTTTCCCAAAGGTTACAAATTACAAACATGCAATGTTTCCCTTTTGAATTTTGGAAAAGGAGGAATTCTACTACAGGAGAAACTTGCCCACTGAGGAGTACTTCCTTGTTTACACATGTGCCATACGTATAATACTTCCTCCATTACTTTGCATTGGAGAAAAAAAAACAAAAAATTGTCAAACGGTTAACCGCGGGGAGATAGCGGTATTTATGTAGCTCTTCTGTAAAACAGTATCACACAAACACCTGCGCACCTATAAGAATGAAGCGCGTCGGGGAAAGTAGCACTATCCGTAGCGGAAACAACTGTACCCACATATGTATGTATGTTTTTGTGAAACATCAAAAAAAAAAAAAAAAAAAGTTCTGCATGATAAGGCATGGTCGGATGGATACGACAGCATTCTCCGTGCACGCATAAAATTTCCGCGCGCACAAATATGCGGAGTGCAACGAACGTCCTGTAGTTCCTACGACTGTCTCGTAAGCCTCTGTGCATGTATGAACCCGGTGTATGCTATATGTTCCCACCCATGTAACCGCAATCAAACGGGAAATTATCAAAGCTATGCAAAAAAGTAAGCATATTGCGAAAGTGACCCCTGCATTTAGTCATTACACCATGGGGAATACAGAAAAAAAGAAAAAAAAAAAAAGCAGACATGTGAAGGAGTATACGTAACCTGTTCCACTAAAATTGTCATAAGGGGATGCAAAAACGGGGAGGCATTCATTTAAGCATTGCTATGTAACCCCCTTCCTTGCCCAACGTTGTGCGCATTTGCTAGCTGCACATTTGAGACAGCAGCAATTTCGAGCAACATGCATTCGCATCTTTTATACTATTGTGCAAAGAAGTAACCTGTCTACACACCACCATCATATGTCCAATTGGACACTCCTATGGGGACACACAAATGCTTATACACACCTACTACGGATGTGAAGGTAATGGACCAACACACACGCACATAATTGTGCACACACATATAGTATACGTGTGGGAGGATGTAGAGGGTTCCACTGAAGTAGCAAATACATATAAGAAAAAATAAAGTGGACCAGGTGCCAAAGAAAAATACACGCACATGTCATGTGTAAAATGTGCACATCTGAAATATTCACACTCGTGAAGTTATAACTAAAAAGGGGGGAAAGGAAAAAAGAAAAACACTTTTCTTATTGTTAGCTTTCATGTGGGGGTAATACATTTGACAAAAAAAACAAAAAAAAAAAAAAAGATATAAACACATGGATAGATTAATTACTATAAGCATGGCTATGCATTCTGACTCTTCTCTCCTTTGATTTCATACTTTTTGTAGTTTCTTTTTGTGACATCAAAGGAAAGATCATGCATAGGACCTTTCAAAAGATAAAATATAGCAATACAATAACAGTGATACAAATGGTAAAAATAAAAAAAACTAATGAACAAAATGTATGAAACAAAAAAAAAAAAAAAAAAAAAAAAAAAATGCACATTTGTATATATGAACATTCTTGTACACATTTATATGCACAATATAAAACACTGCATCAAAAAAAAAAAAAAAAAAAAAAAAAAATTAATAATGCACAACAGGAAAAGGAACATTTTTATAATGCTTAACTTCACAAAATAGGAAAAAGCAACAATGAAGTAGCGACCGTAGAGCTGATGTAGACTGTACAGTGGTGCACAAATGGGCAGAGAAAAAAGCAAAAAGGGGTCAAGTCTTTACCCTGGGCACGCATGTAAAATATATATTCGCACACATGTACCTATGTACAGAATAAGCCTTCTCCTACACGTTGGCTACCTTACGAATGCGTGTGCAAAAACGCGGGACGGGGACAAAATGGGAGGGAAAGCCCTGAAGGGTCACCACGGCATTTTGCAGCACTCAATATTTGAAGTAACAGCTACTTTGAAGCCCCCCAAAAAAGGGTGGCACGAACAAATGCTGCCATTCGAAAGTTAATCCCCTTCGAAGGGACTACCTCGTTAAAGGGTATAAACAACGGCGTGGTGTAGTTCTTTGAAAAGGGTAATTTTTTTGCACTTATTTTGTTCCTTTTTTTTTTTTTTTTTTTTTTGTTTTTTTCTTAATTATGGGTGCTGAAAAAAGTGTGTAACTCTTCTACCACAGCTGAGTATTCCAAAAGGGAGGTCAATAAAAGGAAAAAACATAACAACCACGCAGAGTGAAAATATTCCTTTCGCTCCCTATCAGCATGTCAACATTTGCCCAAATCGAAATGAACAACATTTTTGCCTGGCGGAAACCGCCCTACGCAGAGGACCTTGCTGAGTGGTTTATGCAAATTACTAACCACACACAATGGAATGCCTTATTTGAATTTCCTTTTTCAAAATGTAGGTTCATAACAAGGCGCACAAATTTTTTATTTCTTAAATGTTACACCTCAATTTTGTGAATTTCTTGTGTATGCCAAATAATCCTTACCTGGAACGACGCACCAGTTGGAGGTCGCCCAGCTCGTACACAACTGTTTCTACCAAACGGAGGAAAAAATGTAGCAGGATGGTAATATAATTTGTTTGCACTGCAAAAAATGGATAACACCAACGTTTGTGCAGATAACCCTGTGGGTGTTCTGCCCTCAAAGAAATAGTATATTTTAATGAGTATCCATGCACCCACAAAAAATGAGTCTCTTCGGTGCAAAAGCGCTTCTTCCCTTGCTTCCAATTGGGCATAGCGACGCGGGTATTTTGACGGCAGCACGGCTGACTCGAAATTCCACAAAGATTGACACGTTGGAGGAAGCGCACAGCACGCACAACTGCACCTGTTGAGAGGTACGCCGCCACGCCCATGCCGTATGTTATATTTTACTATACTATACTAGACCATATTATATTGCATTATTTTTTATTTATTTGTGTTTTTTTTTCTGCCATGCTTCAAATACGCCGTTATTTTGGAACACCATCGTTTGGCGAAACCGGGAGAGATAAACGCATACGTATAGGAGTGTATGCATGATGGTATTTTTCCTTATATATATATATATATATTTTCGCGTACATTAAAGTGCAACACGCGTTAATCGCTTTACATAATTGTGACCGCTGTTTTACCCACTTTGCGAGAAGGATCTTCCCATTTTAACCTTTCGAAAATACGCAACGCATAAATGATCTACAAAGCCATATTCCGAAATGTGCGTACTCTCCTTTGAAAGTCGTAAGGATTGTACACGAGCGTACTGCGTATAGCTCTGTGCGGGTGAGTGTGCTACGACAGCGTGCCAGATTGACAGCTAAGCAGAAACGTTTCAAGCACACGCTGCTGCAGGGGTAGAAACGCCGAGGCCTCGTCCTTGCGCAAGTGGGAAAAATACCAGAGCACAAGGCTGCAGCAAGGAACAGGCCAATTCCACTCAACACGTTGTACCTGTGCCGTTTTTTTTTTTTTTTTTTTTTTTTTTTTTTTATGAACTCGCCTCCCCTTGGAGGAGCAGCGTCTCTTCCAATTTGTTCACCACTGAGGTGTAAAGTGCGAAATTTGACCTGTACGACGTAACTGCTACAATGAGTAACCCACAGAACTTCGACATACACAATATAAGAAGGCTAGGAAAGATAGGAGTAAGCGTGGGGGCCATTCTTGGATTGACATCCTTTAGCAGTTGGTTATTTAATAACAGTTTATACAATGTAGAGGCAGGAAAGAGAGCCATAAAATATAATAGGCTGTTTGGCCTATCCAACAGAATATACGGAGAAGGGACTCATTTTTTAATCCCTTATTTTGAGAGGTGTATTATTTATGATGTGAGAACAAAACCCCGAGTTCTTATGTCCTTAACAGGATCTAGGGATTTACAAATGGTTAATATCACATGTCGTGTGTTGTCCAGACCAAATGAAAACAAGCTAGTAGATATATACAGAACATTAGGAAAGGAATATGATGAGAAGGTTCTTCCGTCCATCATTAACGAAGTGTTAAAAAGTGTGGTAGCTCAGTACAACGCTTCGCAGTTGATTACCCAAAGGGAGGTTGTAAGTAAATCTGTTAGGGAACAACTGGTGCAGAGGGCCAAAGATTTTAATATCCTTCTGGACGATGCGTCCATAACACACCTAAGTTTTAGTAATGAATATGAGAAGGCTGTGGAAGCCAAACAGGTGGCTCAGCAGGAAGCTGAAAGGAGCAAATACATCGTTTTAAAAGCGGAACAAGAAAAGAAATCTACAATTATTAAAGCACAAGGGGAGGCTGAAGTAGCCAAGTTAATTGGACTTGCGGTGAAGGACAACCCTGCTTTCATGGAACTCAAAAAAATAGAACTCTCAAAGGAGGTCTCCAATATCATTTCGAAATGCCAGAACAAGGTTATGTTGTCCACTGACTCGCTTCTGATCAATTTTGCCAAGTGACCTCTCGGGTGAGAAGTCTTAGGAAGAATCTTGCCACCTGTAAGACTCCCTTTGAAATAAATAAGGAGTTGTGATAATGATGTAAGGACTCCCCTCGTGCTGCATTTTAATATGCACCGCAGCCTGTGTTTTTCCCCTAACGGATCGTTTTAATTTTTTCTAGGTAGTCACTTCCCACAGTGTGGCCCTTCTAACCGTACGCATGCGCATGAGGGGTATAATGTGTGGTGTGAGATCAGTATGTCCCCAACAACACACTTTTGCCATTATGCAGTTTGGTCCTTCTCACGCGCTTTTATTTCGTAATTTGTTATACTTTTACTTTGCCATTCCTTAACACACACGGTGCCCGCGCGAAGTTGCCAACTGCATGTGACCTTTATGTAAGCACACTTTGCTATTTTTCATTTGTAATTTTTTTAAGAAACTCCATTTTGACGTATTTTAAAATTTACCTCTTGGTCATACTGGGGGGGGGGGGGATACTTCAATACTGTTGTATCGCTGCCCCTGTGTCTATTCCTTCTCCTCTTCACAAAAGAGCAACTCCTTGTTCAATTCGTCCTGCCGAAAAAATGTGAGCATGGAAAGTAAGGCGTGGAAAAGTGTGTATCCTCGGTGGAGGGGTGTGCACAAAATAGGGAGATATGTCACGTATCCATGTTATGTTTTCTGCCGCCACAAGTGTATGTCGCTTTTTTTTTTCTCTCTGTCCATACATCTATCTCAATTAAATCGTCAGGATAGTTAAAAAAATAGCTATAATATTTGCACGACCTGAGCAGGGGAAAAAAAGTCAGGTGTAAAAACGCAGTGTGAAGGTAGCGCCCAATTGGGGATTTTTCCTCCATTTAGTCAGCGCGCGTGAACAAAAAATGGAAGGATCCACACGTGGGCTAATGCAATACGTGGGACCTTCTTCAACGATAGGCGCTTGCATTTCTTATAATTCGACCCTCCTATGTGCTGTAGTAAAACATGGACCCCGCACCCCTCTGGATCCTTACCTTATTTGATACGTTTTGGAGCACCATTTGTGGATATGCGATGAATAATGAATTTTTTTATTTTTGTAAAAGTCAAAATTTCTGTTGTCTTTAATTTGATCCCTTGGATAGCTTCCCCCCTTGGTGTCCGTGTCTATCTCTGCTACAAATCCTTGCAACTCATTTTTGCTCAACTTGCATATTTCCTTGATGTCAATAATTTTTTTTTTCTGATTGGATTCCAGTAGCGTTTCGATGAAGTCAATTATTTTTAGATGATCTGCGTGGAGTGCCATGTGAAGGGTGTGAATAAAGGGGTATGCCCATTCGTGAACCCGCATTTGCATCTCCCCTTCTACTACCCTCTTTCTGTACCTTCGTTCTTTTCATCCAGCACTTTGAACAGCTTGGTTAGGGTCCTCTCAACTAGCTCCAGCGCGGGGATGTTCGTCTGAGCACGTGGGAAGAGATCATGCGAATGAGAGTGCAGAGTGTGTAAAAAAATATAAAAAAGAAAAGATAAATGTAGAACTTCCAAGTTGCATCACTGTAAGTCCACCCTTTTCACATATGTTTTCCGTTCTTGTGTGTTTATTCCACCGATGCGTTGATACCGCAATGTGGATAATATATCTGGCCCCCTTTGTAGATTTTACCTTTTCCGTTTTTTTGGAGGAGCCTTTTCCCTTGTAACTTCCCCCGGAGTCCTTTTTAAACTCTTCCTTCTTCTGCTTGTCGTCGTTGATCGAGTTGTATATCTTTTGTATCGTATCCAACTTTATGCTGTTAATAATGATAGTGATGGAGACTCTTAAAAAAGTAACCACGTCTAATTCTAAGTTCTGGTCAAAGTTGAGTGAGGACAAAATGATGTGTATGATGTTTTTATTTAGGTAGAGTTTGCTGCAAGAGTCCAGAACATTTTTGCAGTCAAATATGTGTATCTTCTTTTTGCCCTTGAGGTTGTGTTTGACTAATTCTTCACACAAATACTTCTGGAGCATCTTCGCGTTCCGCTCGAAAATGCTGTTTCGGATACCCTCAAATCTGTGCAGAGGGGGGGAAGCAGAAAAGCAGAAAAGCAGAGAAGTGACGCGGAGCAGTGACAATCACGTGTGCGCACATTTTGGTAAAGCTTCTTTTCGAAGGGACGGCAATCTCACCTGAGGCGCAGCACCACCTCGCGCACGTTCCTGTAGTACACATAATTATCATCGTTGTAGGAGAAAACGCGTAGAAGCAGTTTGTACTCCTGCCTGGACATAATATGTTCGTTTTTCAGCAGCACTTTTTTCAACTGGGAGCGGTGGATAAACCCACTGTCTGACAAATCATATTTTCTGAAGTCCTGTAAAAATGTTTCATACATGAAATTCAATTCGTTCTCGTAACATGCAAATATTAGCTGCTTATACAGCAGCAAGTTGTCCAAGGGGATGCTTTCAAAGTGCTCCCGATTCCTTTTCAGCTCATATAAGTATGTGGGGATGGCATGTAAGTAATTATTGTAGCACACATATCCATTGTCCTCTTCATCAGCAAAAGATATATACAATAAAAAATCGTAATAATTATCAGTGTAAATATAGGGGTAAAATTCATTGTCTTGGTCGAAGAGGAAAAATTCACAATTCCTTGGGATGCTTTCGAAATCATAAAAAATGTTAGTTCCATTGAACATGTTATTTTTGTAAATGCTAATATCTTTGATCAGGTCTACTTCTTTATTGTTAACGTTGAAGAGGTCCACCATTTTCTTCTTATCATTTATGCTAGTGTCTTTTTTAGTTGTCCCTTTTTTGCTTCCACTGGAACTATCGTCCGTGCTGGTGCTCGCCTCGTCATTCGACTCGTAAAACAGGTAGCTGTCCGAGGGTAACTCCTCGTCTGCATCAAGCTTATCCTCCCCCCTTGCATGACTCTTCAAACGCCGGTGGCTCACGCACATCTTGTGGTTCACCATTTTTAGTATCTCCACGTAGTGCTCCTGTTTCAGTTTTCCTTAATTGAACAGGTTAAGAAGTTGAACCGTTAAGAAGTTAAACGATTAAGAAGTGAAGGAGGCAAGAATTCACAAAGTCACGGGGGTGGCAAAAAGTGAGCGATGGTCCAAACTGCGTCGTGCCACATCTCTTGCCGCTCACCACACTGGTAAGTGATGAAGGGCTCAAAAGGGAATCCACTGCACCACTTGGTTCCCACCAGTGTGTTTCCCCCATTTGGTCATACCTTTCTTTTTAATATCCACGTCGGCGAAGTAAAAGCTCAAGTTGAATTTTAAAAAGGATAGAGCTTCATTTAGTTTTTCATTATCCACATTTTTTGTGCTTCCTCTTGCTAACTGTGAACTCCCATGATCTATGTTAAAATCCGCTTTGGAATTTATTCTGTCTAATTCCAAGGTCTCATCAAAGAAGGTCTTTTTGTGCAACAGCTTATCAGCTTTTACGAATGTTTTTTTTTTTTCTCGGAGTTCCTTTTCTTCTTCCTTTCTCCTTCGAGCCGCTTCATGTTCGTCTTTGATTTTTTGCAGAATGGCCTCGATGCTCTTCTCATCGGCGGGTTTAATAAACCTAGTTCGCATGAACCTGTGTTGAGGTCAAAAACGGGAGGCGCGCCAAGGGGTGTTAAAAGGGGGAAATATATCCACAACTGCTATAAAGCAGCAAGTAACAAAATATAGGCAAATGCCTAATTTTTTTTTGATCCTGCCGCATAATGGCGTTATTTAAATGCTCATATTTGTTCTTTTTGGTAACTCGGATGAGAGGTCAAGATTGTTCCTAAGTTTCTCTTTATCCTTGATAAGCCTGGCAGAGAGAAAAAAAAAAAGAGTTGTTTTTTGGGGGAGATTTGTACCGATGGTAATTGCGTGAGCGCAGAAATGGAACACCTTTCAGTTAATGGGATCCTTCCACCTGGAGGGCATATCTATTTAGGAGGATGTTCCCAAAATGTGCATCTGCATATTTGTTTCTTCACCCTCCCAGGTCGAAGGAGCTGCGCTATCATTACAGATTGTTCAAGTCTTTTCTCCATTTTGTCTTTTTTTTTTTTTTTTTGTTTTTTCGTTTCATTTTCCCGTTTTCCCTACTTGTCAATCCAGGCCTCGAAATTTAGACCCATGTCCACCGTCCTTACTAAACTTTCATTTTCAAATTTGAACGTCACGAAATATTTGTCGCCAATTGGGGTCTCCCCTCCAAAGCTGTTCATTCCAATAGGTCCTACTTCAGTTATGGTGAATGCTGCATTCACCGTGCATTTGGCTATGGACTCGTTTTCATTTTGGTGGTAAAAGGTGACCTTATAGCTGCGTTGTGTTTGTACCGTGGGGGGAAGTTGGAAAAAAAAAGAAAAAAATATAAGCAGTGGAGTAGGGACACACGCACATTGCGCCATCTCGTTTGACACTTTTTGTTTTGGGGGCAAACATTATGTGGGGGACAACTGGGCTCTTACTAGTGCTCCCTCTTTTCTTCGTCCTTCCCCTTGACGAGTATCCTGTAGGCATACCTGCGTTGGTGTTGGTAAGTGGACGCGCGCGTGGGCACCTATGTGTGAATTTTCTTATGTATCTGCCGAAGCATCTGTATATAAATCTCCATATGCCTCTGAGCATGTGTGAACTCGTCGCCCCTCCCCAGTTAGATTACTTGCTTGTCCACTGCTTGATTATGCCAACCAGGAACTCAATTCTTTCTTCCATCTCTGAATGTGTTCCTCTCTTGCGTGAGACCCTTTCCGAAGGAGAAAAAGCTCACTTTGTAGTAGAGGAACTTGCACAAATAGGCATCAATCATCCTGCGCACTTCCTGTGCTATGGTTCATTTTTGAGTTTCCACAACAGGCAAATTTTGGTATGCCCTAAAATGGGAAGTTATTTTTCTAAAATGCGCACAACTGTGGTTTTCTGGGCTTTTCGTTTTTTTTTTTTTTTTTTCCTCTCTTGCCCCCGTGGCCCTGTCTATGTGCATATTTCAATTTGAAGGTGGCTCTGCCTTTAACTTGGACAAAAAAAGTTAACTTCAATTTGGCGTTGATAGATAAGAAAACAAAGGATGTTAAACTATGGATGAGCGTTGTGAGTACATTTTTTTTTTTTTGTGCCGTTTTTTCGATTTTTGCCAGTGCGCGTGTGCGACGAGGGTGTAATAATGTCTCCTTTGGGCGGCGGCATCCCCGTCGGGACCTTCCCCATCACGGGGGCGAAATTGAGAGGGCCATTTTTGGCAGCAGTGGGAAAACAAAAGTTTTGTTTTTTATTAAAAACGCGGGAACAAAGTTTGTGCCGATTGTTGTACAAAAAAGGAAGTAGCGGAAAAACTAAAACGGAACATCTGAAGACACAAAGGTGATATCACAAATGGGATGCCACAATACTTCTCTGTGCGGGGAAAAAATTAAAACTTAAAAAATACACCTCAGGACAACAACAAAAAAGAAAAAAACAAAAAAAAACGTGCCATTCGGTAAGGAGGCGTACACACACGCACTAATGCGCATGTAATACAGATAGGACTTCCCTCAAATGTGCTAAGTGGCGTCCATCCCCTATTTGCACAAAAATGAGGGAATAAAAAAGAACAAAAAAAAAAGTAATACAAAAGAATAAGCAGTTGTTATTCTGTCTGAATTTATAAAATTTTCCAATCCATAGTATAAATATTTTAATAAGTGTGAAACAGTTTAGCCTTCGTGCAAATGAATTATCGAATGGTACAAACTATCCTTGTTCCTTTTGCAGAGGTATAATGTAGGCACTAATGATGACTCATTAGATGATCCCCCACATACACCCACCTCTATTTCCTTTACTAATTCATGAATGAACAGAATTTTTCCAAAGACACCAACTTGACAGGCTCTTTTGAAAAGTGGGACACACATGCTTGATGAATGCGTATGGAAAGACCTACGCTTATACAAAAATTGCGGCATATGATATTTGTGTTCATGTATAATGTCTACCTACTGTCGCACACCGAACTTGGTTCCCTTTTTTTTTTTTCCTACACCTAATTGACTCCGGGAAAAACCCCCTTGTTAAATTGCATAGAGTCCATAAAATTTTTGTAGTTGTTATTCTCCAAGCTATTCATTAGGGACTGTTTGATTACCTTCTTATCATAGTCGTTAAACTTAAGCCAGTCTGAGCAGATATCTATGTCTTGTATGTAATTCTTTCCTAACTGGACACCTGGAATTTTCATTAACTGTTCTATGGATACTTTACTTTCATCGATGGTGGGATGGACCATGTGGTTGTCATTTGAGGGGGTACCCTTATGGTATGCATTTACAAAGTTGGACACGACAGAGACGCTTCCATCCTTTTTGTGTTGTAGGGGGGGCACGGTTTCTTTCGTGAAACCCTGGGGGTTCCACAGATTAGCTGGGTTGAAGTGGTTTGCTGATCCGTTGTGTGGAGTGTACTGTGTAGAGCTGTTCGGAAGCAAGTGTACTACCCTCGTATTTGGCATGCATGTGGCACCGCTGGGTTGCATATAGTTGGCCCCTGTTTTGTACGCATTGCCTCTCCACCCTTGGCTGGAGGACTCCAATACGCAGTTCTTATGCATAGAAGCAGTCTTGAGTATGCAGTTTCGGTTAAGCTTTTCTTGGGAGCTATGCAAATTGAAGCTACTCATTGGGACATTGCTGTTCCTCCTCTTCTCTTGTAGAGAGGTTAGCTTTTCTTTAAAAAAGGGGTAATTGTTATCCTGGTTTCCCGCATTCGCATTACCTACCAAGGTGTTGTTACTTAGATGTATAGAACCCATTCCCTTCAAAGCAGGTTCTGCTTGGACAAAGGGGTTAATAAAGGACATCTTGCTATTACTGTGCTGTTCCATTTTGCTGATCTCATTACTGCCGTCTGCATTCCTGCAGGGGTACCCTGTTTGGTTCATTTGCTCGCTCCTAAAAAGACTTTTGTGGTCGTTCGTGAAGGAAATATGTTGCTGCTTTGCATTCATTTCGCACTTGTTGAGGAAGTCCTTTTCGATCTCTGCTGAATTTGCCACTTTTTTTTGATGCTCTTGAAATTTGGCCACGGACATGGGGTTGTGTAAGGTACTGTTTCGCTTTTGGAATGGGAAAAGGAATTCCCCGCTTGGCTGGTTGTGGTAAACGAAGTGAGAGTTGGTTTTTTTCGTACTCATGGATAGGAGCGCTCCGTTTGGCGCGAATGCCTCGTACGATGACCGCGCTGCGTGGTGCGTCGGGGTTGCGGAACCACCGCGATAATTGTAATTTGTCTTATGTGATCCCTCCACAGATTTGACACTCCTGTTAGGTGCAAATGCAACATTGCTACCTGTTTGTCCTTGATCGTTGGAAATTTCACTGTAACATTTTGTGCCACTTATGCTCCCCTTTGTACCTTTCATCCAGTTTGGCATGCCGCTTGGATGGTTCAGGTGGACATTCGCGTAGTTACTCAAATGGGCAATAGCGTTGTTACTCGTGCGATTATTCATAGAGCCTGCTCCCTGCACGATGCCAATCCCTCCTCCACTGGCTGTGCCCAATGCATGGGTCTTCCTAGTATACATGCTATTGACCCTTTTCTTTGCCCCATCTTGCGTTTTCATTTTGCACAAATAGCTGCTAACTTTGTCATTGGTGTTATCGCCGTTCTTATCTTTCTCGCTGTCTTTATGCTCACCTGGCTTGTTGGTTGAGTCTGTCTCCAGGGACTTTGTTTCTCCCTTCTCCGTTTCTGAGCTTCCACCGTTCTCTTTTGCGTTTTCCTTGCTTTGATCTTCTTCCTGCACCTTACTTGCCTTGTCTAACTGACTCTCCTTCTCATCATTAGCGCCCGCCTTCTCCGACTCGCATTTGCTTTGGAAAAAATTTAGCTGTCCCATGAAGCTGCTGACGATGTTTCCGCCCTTTTTATTATCGCAGGGGTTGTTGCTATTCTCGTTCGCGAAACAGTTCTCATGGCTGTGTGTGTTTCTATGCACATCCTTGGTGTTACTCTCTCCTGCTTTGTTGCCCGCCTCCTTGTTCAGTTGACCACTTTTGTCCTTTTTCCCCTCATCCGTGGGGTTGCAGAAAGGCACGCTTTCATTATTCGTAGTACATCTAACCGATTTACTACTTCGGAGGGTAAAGTTTTTAATTTTATTTGTCACAATTTCGGTAAATCTGTTGTATGCTGACTTGGTTTCGGTCCCTTTCCCTTTCTTCTCATTCGCTTCTATCCCCTGCTTTTCATTCGTTTCGATCGTTTCCTTCTCACTCGCTTCACCCCCTGGGGAAGTTTTTTTTTCGTTGAACCCGTTTCCCAAGTTTATTAAATTTTTCAAATTGGCTAGCTTCTTAAAGTTGGTTAGGTTTTTCAAATTGCTCTCCAAATTATTAGAGTTGGCTACATCCCGGTTGTCTTCTTTTTTCTTGTCACCCTGTTTTACGTGCTCTGCGTGATCATTGCTCTTGGCGCTAGCATATCTGCTCGGGTGTGCAGAACCCTGTGCATGCAGCAAGCCGTTATTCGCATCGTTAAAGCTGTTCATATTTCTCTTAAAGCCTGAGTATACATTAGGGTTTATCATTTTGTTGTACCCATTGTTGTACCTTTTGTTTGTGAAGGGGGTTTGCCTTCGAAAGTGGTTTATGTTGCTGGTACGTTTGCTGTCCATAATTTTGGATTGTAGGGCCGAGGGATTTTCATTCCTTGGGTTAACAGGGTAAGCATTTTTCTCTTTGGCAAGGCCATTGTGGCAAGGGTCCGACCCTTTACCATCATTGCTATCTTTGCTTTCCTTTTTAAGCTGGTTAACTTGTTCTTCTGGTGTCATCCCTAAGGCATGCTTTTTGTCCACTTCTCCCAAATTAACCTTAGGTTTTTGAATCAGTGTGTTCTCTTTCGAAACTCCGACCTGTGTTTTTTGGTGACCCCACAGTTGGTTACTTCCTTTGATGAGGTTTGTCACAGGGATGTTGGCTGGATTAGTTTTACCCTCAGGGACACTCACCCCAGCCACCGTTCCCGCCACTTGTCCCACTTCAGTTGGAAGGTTATCATTTCTGTTTTTCACTTGGGCCAACTTTCCGCTGTAATTATAAATAAAATCGTAGCTGTGATTCTGGCCAGTCATCTCCTTCCCTGCAGCAGTACCTTTGCCCTGTACTTCCCTGCACAAATAATTTTCCGATTTCATTTCGCGCACTGGGTGGAGTCTACTTAGGGGAGAAATGCCCATTCGCATTTTACAAGTGTCCTTGAAGTTTGGCAAATTCGTCATGGAAGTCCTGTCTTGCGTTTTAATCTCGTAGGGAGCCATGCCGTTTGACATGTTTGCCCTGCCATAGGCGCTGTTCACAAGTGCACTGTTCACGCTGACGCTGTGCATGTGGGCACTGCTTAGGCTGGGCACAACGGGCAGCCCCTTCCTGTGCAAACACCTGACCTGGGGGGCGTGTTTACTCTGCTGCACCAAGTGCGCATTCGCGAAAGGCACCGTAGTTTCAACCACACCTGCTGCTGCTGCGGTTGCGGTTGCACTAGCCGCGATGGTCGAACCGTACCTCTTCATATAACTCCCAACGGCGTGTGTGTTGTCGTCCCTGCTATACTTAGGATAGTTAATATTGAGGGTTGCCCTAGAGTCCACTTTCTTATTGTTTCCCTGGTCCAGATTGTCCCTTTTAATGCTGAAGTTATTGGGCCACAAAATTTTGCTTTTCCCTTTAATTTCCACTGGAGCATTTTGGCCCTTCTCATTGGTTTCCACCTTTTTAACGTCCAGGGGTGTTTTTTCTTCTACAGTTTTGGAGATTGCTGTCGTTTTTTTCTGCTTCAAATTTTTTGCTAATTCATTTTTTTTCTTTCCATCCGTTAGATCGCTTGAATTTGTCTCATCCCCTGTCTGTCCTTTGTTCTTTTTTTTCATTTTTTTTGTTTTATTCATTTTTATATTTTTTTCATTTTCTTCCTCACTTTTGGTTAGCTCCTTTGTGCCTGCTTGTTTTTCACGTGTCTTTCTGATCATCAAATCCTTCAGTTTGGCATTTTTGCATGCGGCGGGTTCTGCGTTCGTCTTGTTTATGTTCTTGTGGGATTTGTTGTCACTAGGATCACCTCCTGCAGTGTTTCCATTCATAGCGTTGCTACAGCTCATAGCGCTGCTGGCGCTCGAGGGAGCCAACTCCTTGTGGAAGGACGTGCCGAACCCTTTGCTCTTCCGTTTCGCACAGGAAGTCGAATGTTTCTTCACTTCATCCTTACCTGCGCCTTCCTTCTTGGTTTTCTTTATTTCACCCATTATAATGTCCTTGGTCAAATTACGAGTATTGTTCTCTGCATCTATCAACTTGATTGCTGATATGGTATCCCCCTCTTTGTCCATCATGGAGGAATCCATTCCTTCTGTTTTCGCGTGTGTCAACGCATTTTCCCCTTCATCCGTGGCGGGAGTGCTGGTAATCTTTGATTGCTGGTCAGGAGGAGCGTCTCCCTCTACGGAGGTCTTTCCCGCTACGTCCATACCTGCTGCCGAGCTTACGCATTCGCCCAGCACTTGCCCAGCATTTTCGCCACTGCTCCCCACATTGTCTTTCTCCTCCTGCGCGTGACTGGTGGCGCTCATCTGCGAGAGGATCTCATTCTTGTGAACCAGAATGTTCTGACTGGTTAAGTAACCCGATATAATATCCTTCAAGCTTCTCTTCTTGGAATCCTCCTCTAAGAGAATTAATTTAATAATTTCGTTTATGTGTTTGATCAGGTTGTCGAAGTTGTTCTGTACCTTCAGGACATCGTTAAATAATGATGCAAATTTAAGAGACACCAGTTCAAACAATATTTTGTCTTCCACTTCCACATGGTTGTTACTCCTCATTAGTAAAAACATGTTATTAAAATGGACCACCATCTTCATAATTTCGTTAAAGTAGTTACTATTTTTTTCGTTTCTTTCGATGATATATGATTTTATATCAGCGAGGGTTATATATTTTTCTTCCTGATTTTTTTTTTCATCGCTAGCGCACTTTTTCTCCAAGTTTCCATCATCAGAGTTGGGTGAAGAGTCCGCCATAGATTCCTCCTTTGCATTACCATTACGATGACGCAAAATAGCCTTGTAGAGTAGGTCGATGTCGGGCAAACTAATTTCGTAATTTACATCTGAGGAGGCATTCTTAAATGTGTCAAAGGTGATTCTTTCCTCCTTTATGTTTAGTACTTCCTTGAGCACATCCTCCGTTATGTAGTTGGTCGTGTACACATCTAGGTTGACGGATTCTTCCTCGCAGGAGAAGTTCATGGAGGACGTTTTTTTCAGCGCCTCCACGTTAAATGGGTGCGCCTCGTCTTCGCTCTGAGCATGAGCATGCAGCCCCTGTTCCTTTTCTGCCTCTTCGTGTGCCTCTCCCTCTACCTCCTCGTCCACCACTTCGGCACTTTCCTTTTGTTCGTTCTTCCCAAAGTCGAAGTATTTGGACACATGAGAGACCTCAAATTGGTACTTGGTAAATATTTTTTCCAACTCGGCGGAGCCGTTTCTGCTGCTTCCGCCGCTCTGACTGCAGGTATCGCTTTCGGTGTTGCTTCCCATATGCGACGACTGGAATGCTTCATCCGGTTTGCTCTCCTTCTGGATAGCAGTCTTCTTGGAGTCCCCACTAGAAAAGTCTTCCACGTCCTTCTCTGTGTTCTTCCCCTTGAGGGGCACGCACAAATTGTTTAGATCGCTTAAGTTATAACCCAGCTCAGCATACACCCTCTTCCTTGCCTCATCCGCTATGGAGGAAATATCTAACAAGCCTTCTTTCTCCATGAGAGAGGGGGAGTGAGATTTCCTGTTGCTGTAGTTCAGTTCTTCTAGCGATTTGTTACTTAATGCTGGTTTTCCAATTGTGTTACTCAATTGATGTTCGTTCTTACTTTCACTCTTTCCAACCTCTTCATCCTTTACATCTTCGCTCATTTCCTCGTCAGAATATTTCTGAATATAATCATAGGAGTTACTTTTTCCAGTGCTATATGTAGAGTACCTTTCCTGTTTGGCATCCTCATCCGTGTGTGTGTCTGCATCGTTAACGGTCTTTTCATTATTGTCCGCATGGAGAATCTTCCCATTTTGATTCTTTCCACCACCAAAATCAGCATCTGCAGATGTTTGTCCAAATTTATTCTTCCCTTTGAATGTTGTGGTGTTATCTGGATGCTCAAACGCATGGCTTGAGTAACACGAGTAGACATTATTCGACTCATGAAATATTTCTTCATGCTTACAACTGTTCATGTAAAAATCCTTTTTCGTATCGTTTTCATTATAATCTGGAAGGAACATGGTCCTTTGACATTCGGTCATAATATTTTCCTTTTCTCGATTTTGAAGCATATGACTATCGTTCTCCACAGAGTGAATACTTTGTTTGCCTTCCACTTGGCTAACACCCTTGTGGTCTATCAACAAATTTGTACTCTTGTCTTTTTGTACGACCTGAGATTCCTCTTCATTAAAATGGCTCAAAAATAGCTTCGAATATTCACTCGTTTTGGACACGAATTCGTCTAACATACTTAAGGTATACTGCATTGGTGTTTCTACATTTTCTTTTCTTTCATTTTGCTCATTCGATATATTTTCAACATGTTCGTTTTTTTTATTCATCACAGTTTCTTTCCCCATTGTGTTATTGTTTTGTCTGATGAAGTGATCATTCAGTACTCCTTTCATATCTCTACTCGCCACATCCGAAAGTGGATTCACCTCCTGTTCTTCCAGCTTACATTTTGTGATACCTTCCGAATTGTCCTCCTTGTCCACAGATAAAAACATCGTCTTCAAAATGGGGAGGGATAATCGTCTTGGGGGTCCTGTGTTTAACCGTTACGGAATTTTCGTTGGGAAGGATGGCCAAACAAAACGTTTTGATAAATATTGGAGTAAACAATTTATGAACAGCGCGTCAGTAGGGGGAAACGAAGGTCAAAAAAAAAAAAAGGTTACAACAAAAGAGCCACAAAAAAGAGGGAAAACTGAGGAGATGTAATTTGGCGGAAGCTACAACGACATGTTTGGGTCACCCCGTCGGAGCTTCTTGCGCCCTATTCTGTTTATTTTTGAAGTCCTTTTTATGGCTGCGCTGTCGAAATAACCTTTCGTGTTACTCGTGCATGCCGATTTTGTGGTCGAAAAGGGGCACCACGCGGCAGTCCGCATGGTCCAGAACTGTGCACAGTCCTTGGGGCGACACCTTGACAGAGCCAAGGGTGATATGGAAAGTCAAAAGCGTGAAGTGTGGCGGGACTGCACAATAAACGTTAAGGGTACACCCAAAACTTGCACAACAGGGAGGTCAACAGCAAAAATGTCCTAGACATGTATATTGTCAATGCAAAAAAAAAAAAAAAAAAAAAAAAAGGAAAATACATAAAGAGGGGGTATAGTGCTACTCCAGAATGGACCTCCAGAGCTGCAGAATTAAAATTTAAAGAGTGTTTCCCGTCCTTGTAGCTCGAAAAACGATTTCTGTAAGTGCGCTGCGGAACAGGCACGACGAATGCAGCGCCTGCCAAAAAGACTGTTTCAAAAAAGAATCAACGTGTTGTTACGCGGAATTATTTTTTGCTTCCTTACAAACTGTGCTGCATATTAGTGATCCCTACACCTATAGCAGTATGGTTGCCTTACACCCTGCCCCTTTTTTTTTTTTGAAGTGTCATACGTGTCGCACAAAGTGTGTACTTGGTGTGCGGCGGCAGCATGGGGTTGCTCACATAGAGCGTTGTGAGGATGTTCACGTAAGTGTCTGCGTGTGAAACGACAGTGGCCTCATTCGTGTGCATTTCCAATTTTCAAAGCGAGTTAACAATGCTTACATTTTACGTGGGTATAGGTACAAAATATTCCCTCAGGGGGAAAGAAAAATGTATGCTTTGCACCTATTCGCAAGCACACACAGACGCAACAGGCCATATTTGCATTTTTTTTTTTGGTTTAAAGTAGCTCCCCTTTAGGGTGATGTAGGGGTTCGGAACGCATATATGCCGTAAGCATCATCCTCTTTTTTTCACAAAATGTAAAAGAAATTTCTAATCGTGCATTCAAGAATGAATTGTTCACAGGAGTGATCATTCTCAACTTGGTCTACATTGCACCCCTTTTTTTTTAATAAATAAAAAAGTGAAGAATACAATTCGAATGTTCTCAGATCATGTTAAGGTGTTCCACGTCGGGTGAAATGGTTACAACACATGTTCATATATGTATATCTTAGCATGTGGATTTTACAAAACAAGCAACACATTTCCCTTCGTGGTTGTTATCTTCTTCCTCACGCACAACACTCCGACGTTGTCACCGCCTTCTTCCGATTCGTAAAATGCTAATATCAAAAAATGGGGAAAATGGAATTAATTTAGTTCACTTCCCCCTTCCCCTAGGGGTTGCACAGGAAAAAATTATTCCGATGAAGAGACACATAGCATGGTACGAAACTGCGTAGCGAACAAACTAGTAAAAACAAGGCCAATATTAACACCATGGTGCGTCATTCAATTTGCCATTCTGTTCACCGTTACCCAAAATTCCCATTCCTGCGCAGTTTCTATATTTAATGTTGTTCACAAGACTGTTCACAATCGCGTGTTGGTAACCCCTCGTGGGGTGTTAAGTGGGTCAATGGAAACAAAAAAACAAAAAAAAAAAAAAAAGGGCTAAAGGGGGAATTATATAATAGTTGCAAAGTTCTAGCGTAGCTTCGCCACGGTGTTGGCATAGCCTCTGCATACCTGTTTTAATATATTTTTCTCAGTGCACCTTTTCACGCTACGCATTTCTTTCGCTTCCTATGCCACTTTTGCTTTACTTGTTGTCCCATCTGACGGAGGACCCATTATACCACGATGCCTAAATGAAGCAAGTTGAGAGTTTTTTTCTTGCCTCCCTTTGCGTTGGCCCCCAACGGAGCCCAGCTTCTTAGATACGCTGACACTTTGAAAATGTGTTTTTTCCTTACTCCCTTGTGCAATTTTAAAAGGTTTCTCCTTTAGAGATTTATGTCCTGTCAGTTATTTTCTTTCACCGTATCATTTCCCTTTTGGAGTAAATTTTTTTTTTTTGTGCGTCATTAAACGCGTTCTATAACGAAGGAAAACACGTGGATACTCGTGTAATGTTAAAGTCGCATACTATTTTTTTTTTTTTTTTTTTTCTTGCTCCACTACTGATTAACGTGTAAAAAAATATGATATGAGATGCAATTCCTCGCCTTTTTTTTTTTTTTAATCCTTTAAAATAACGATAAGACCCCGATTAATGTAAAACGTTTGAAAGCATGGCATCCACAGACGAGGATGAGTGGAATGATTACTCGAACGCCCTCAAGTTGTCTGAAAAAATCGAAAAATTACATAAGGAATATATTAAAGAGACAAACCAATTAAAAGAATGCAGTGGTAGAAGGTCGAATGGCTGTGATCAGCCGCATCAGAATGAAAATAGAACGGGAAACGATGCAAGAAACTGTCACGTTATTAAGCGTAGGATGTACAATTACGATGTTATTAATTATTATAAAGACGAAACAATATTGAGGAAAAAAATAATCGAATTATCAGATGATATAATGACAGCAATATATCACATTTATGATATATTTCGTCTTTGCAAGGATCATGTTTTTCTGTCCTTTAATGGAGGGAAAGATGCCGTCGTAATTTTACACCTCTTCAGGTGTGCATATGCTAAATACATACATGATGTGAAGGGGGAAAGAAAAAGACCAAAGTTAATTTATTTTAAAGATGAAGTAAACGAATTTCCAGAAGTATCCCAATTTTTAAACGAATGTGTATATATGTACGATTTTGATATTACTGTTATTAAGGGGACATGGAAAAGTAGCATTACACAATTTATAGAAACCTACCAAAAACAACATCGAATTAGTAGGATAGATCAAATGAAGGAAAATTTCGTCGATTCTTGTGAATTTTTTCCAACTATAGCATTTATTAATGGCACAAGGTTTAACGATACGCATAATGAAAAGTTACAAATTTTGAATATCAGTTCAAGGGGACTCCCACCATATTTGTATCTAAATCCAGTTCTTTACTGGACCTATGGAGCTATTTGGACATTTATTTTATATTTTAAATTTGATTATTGCATTCTATATAATCATGGATACTCCTCCATCGGTTCAGTCCATGATACGGTAAAAAATGAATTCTTAAAATGCAACGATTGCTATTTACCTGCCTATTTCTTGAAAAACTGGGACTACGAAAGACACAATAGAGTGTCATCTGAAGAGAACCAAGGGGGAAACTCCCAACAGGGTTAATTGGCGGGACCGCTCCACGGAAAGGATCTCCGTCTTTTACTTCACTAAATGGAAAATGGCACGGGTACATTTTTGCTATTAAAGATAAAAGAAAAAATATATTATATGGGTAACCACAAGCACACACATTTGCAACATTTGGGAAAAAATTCTGAACAGTTCATTAAGTTTTTAAAAATGTGGTACTTCTTGAGGTGGAAACTGTTTGGAACAAAAAAAAAAATAAAATAAATAGCTAGTTGGCAAAATTGAAAAATGGCTAGTTCAGCGAATTAAAAAACAGCTAGCTTCCTTTATTCCCCCTTTTATTCGTTTGCTAAATTAAGAACAGAAACCGAAAAGTATTCCCGTACGTGCATCATGTACCACATATGGAAAATTTTGTACTACCCCAATAAATTGTTTCACATATAAACACACATTTTAGGCACATTTTTTTTTTTTTTTCATTGCCTTGCTTTTTGATTTATACGTAACATATTTGAACAGTGCTCATTTGTGTACATTTAATTTTGATAGGAAATTCCTTTGGCTACTGCTTCTTTTTTTTTTTTTTTTTTTGTATTTTAAAAACTAAAATACGCTTCACTGCCGTGTGTAAATTTTTTCCCATTTGGGGAAATGATTTAAAGCAAAGTCTCAATTATAAGTAACGGTGTACATCTTTGTAGGCGCACAACATCAGGTATAAAACGTTCCCCAATTTTGTGCGCACAAACATGCCACTATACATGTTTCACTTAAAAAAAATAAAATACTCGCACAGTTCGTGGAGAATGAAACACATACGCAGGTGAGGAATGTGGGTGTGCAAGTCACACGCATGCATACAAATGTGCACATTTAGACACTTTTGTCTACTGAAAAAACTATTACATTTGGAGAAAAATGCACGAATGTAGTACATCCGTAAAGGAACAAAATTGCTTTCAAATTTTGTGACAACAAAAAAAACAAAAAAAAGGAATAGTGACACAGAGTATGCTTCTATATGCGCACTGCACACACTGCACTTACTGAGAAAAGACGCTTCCATTTTAGCTACTTCCGCCACCGGAGTTCTCATCGCTATCGGAATTGTATTCATTAAGAATGCTCGAAAGGTTCTCCTTCTTTTTAATGACAAAGTTGTAACTCTTTTCTAAATTGTTCCTTTTAGCACTTGGTGGGTTGCCTACAACTGATAGGCGGTTTTTAAAAATGCTGATTCTGGGTTTGGACATGGGCCCTTCTGCTTCTTGTACCCCATCAGTACTCACTTGGTTTGTTCTTCGCAACTTTATCGGTCCTTCCATATCTGCGTTTGCCGTTTCGTCACTATGAATATGCCTTTTTTTGGCTCCTTCCGAGAATTCTTTCGTTTTATGTAGGGGGCTCTTTTGCAGTGTGTCATCTCTGGCATTTTTGTTACACTTGCTGTTATGCGCGTTGCTCTCATGTGAATCACCGTCTTGTGAGTCACCGTCCTGAGAGTCACCATCCTGGGAGTCATTGTTTTGTGGGCTTGATTCCTCTTCTAATACCTCCTCCTCTATGATGACGTCGTCCTCGCCCGCTACCGACCCTCTTGGCGCGCCCCCGGGTTGATCTGCAGCCGTCCTACTTTTGCGAAGCAAAGTGAAAAACGCCTTTTCATCTTCCGCATCTAAATTGTTCATGAAAAAATTATTTTTATTATTTTCCATTTCGCTCCTTTCGTACAATTTATTTAGCGCCTTGTTGATGCTGTTAAATTTGTCAATGTGTCTTCTGTTCATATTTTGCAATTCCTCCAATTGTTCATTTGTTTTTAATTCCTGTAGAGCATTGTAGGACTCCTTTTCTTTGTTCTTCACTTTATCTTCTTCTTTGATGAGATTATTTTCTCGATAATAATCATCGGCAATTTCCTGCTCCTTGTGTGCATCATATGTTCTTATTCCTCCAGCTATTAAAATGTAGTCTCCATTTTTTGGATCCGTTTTGAAAATAATTTCATTTTTACACTCAAAGCATTTTCCATAAAATTGCCAAATTGGGATGTTTAGGTAACTTTCGTCTCTTAATTTTTCAACCCTGGAATTGAATTTCGTTCCAACGTAGGTGAAGCTTTTGCATTTGTTACACTTGAGTGTGAAGGGGTACATCATTCGGATGTTTAAAAAATGCTTCTTCTTCTTGTTATACTTATTGCTCTTGTTTTTTTTCCTTTCTATTTTTCTCATCAATTTTTTGCTTTCCGTTAATTTGTCCGGATCGAAGTCCGGCGGGATGTACTTGTTCAACACTTTCCGTTCAGCCATGGTTCAGGTGAAGTGATTTGGAGTAGTGAAGGGGGTAGTCTCAGGAAGGAACTAAAAGTAAATACGGCACGAATGGCCTAAAACTCGAAGGGGTAACTCGTGAGGGGGGGGGGAAATTTGCAGAATAGGGATACCTTACACAAAGTATATCTCCTAAATTGCCCTGTTGCAGTTTCTTCTTCACCCTCCCGATACCTCTGTTGGACTCATGCCTTCGGTGAGGCGCCGGGGATGTTTTTTCCCCTCCCTAATAAAACAACTGCAAAGGGGGGGTCGAAGGGAATTCCCATTTTTTGTCATCATCCGAGGGATCATTCAAAAGCAAAAAATATACCCATCCACACGCTTATTTCTGCGTGGTAGTTAGGAAAAATAAATTACTCCGCAACATGGTAAAAAAAAAATATATATATGGGACGGCAAACTGTTGCAATTATAATTGCATGTGGGTATCCAGTGGGAACGGCAACCTTTGCGAGGTGCCAAAAAATAAAGAGGACACTGAGCGGATCGTTTGTTCATTTTTTCTGCTACTTGTTTGAGCTTTGCCACCCCCCGAAAGGATATTTTTGGCCCCACCTTTATTTACCCCCTTTGCCTATTTTTCGCTTTACACAAATGGGCGCGGTGGATGACTGCTCTTCTTTAAAAAAAAAAAAGGATGGCAGCTTTCTCCATTTTATCAGTTCCTTTTATTCAGTTTCGAAAGGACAAACGTGAAACGCGCCGGGGGGCTTCTTTTCGAATGCCGTTGTTTTCCCGTTGCGCATGGAAGGGTGTGTGTTTGCGAGCGGTAAGGCGAAAAAAAATGGAAACAATTGGAAAAATTTGCAAAAAAATATTAGTACGTTGCAAAAAATGGGAATAATTATCAAACAGGGCAACAAAAGGAAAAACACTTTTTATCATTTTTTTTAAGTGCAAAAAAAAAAAAAAAAAAAAAACACTTTGGCCGAAAGGGGTTGCCTCATCATGTTCGCTACCGTTCACTGCTTCTCATTCATGACTCCCGCTTGTCATTCTGGTTATTTTTTCCCTTCTGGGCTGCTGCTCCCCCGACTGCGCCCTTCTTCTTACTGAGCTCCTGCTCGCGCTTCCGCTTCTCCTGCTGCAGTTGGTTCTCATCGAGCACCTTGACGACGAACTCGTTATTGGGTCGGTCATCAATGAGTATCCCCAGATTTAGAAGACGCTCATCTCGTAGCAAATCGCACTCTTTCAGTAACGTCTCATTGTTAGCCTTGACATTGTTAACAAACTCTGCGTAAAGTAGGTCCCTCCCTTGGGCAGGAGAATTATTCTCATTTTCCTGTCCGTCCTTTTTGGTGACGACATCTTTTGTCTCTTTGGTAATTTTCCTAATCAATTTAGCATTGCTCTGTAGTGTGGTGCGAATATTACTTCTATACGTACCAAGCGTTTGGAGAAGTTCATCAAATTTGTCATTCTTCCCACTTTGAGATTGACCATACACCAAGCCGAAGGTATCTAGTATGAAAGAGATATAATGCTTGAGTTCCAAGAGTAACCCAATTTGAACCTTCTCATTTTGTAGGTATATATTAATTTCGGTGATTAGCTTTTGCAGAGCTAGGATAACTTCAGGCGTGTTGAAATTGTCTAGCAGAGCCTGATGTATTTTGTTCTTTGTTGAACGGAATAGGTTGTTAAGATTGTTGTCTACTTGGGTCCAGAATAAATTGGAGTTACTTAAATGAAAATTTTTAATTTTCATCTCCAGTAAGGCGAAAAAGTTAAAGATGAACTTATCAATTTCTACACACTGAACCATGCTTTCTCCATTAGGACTATAATTCATGAAGCTGTCCCATTTGTTTAGTAAAAATAAAATACGAATTTGGTTAGGCGTATACTCAGTTAGCATATGTTTTATTGTTATAAAATTTTTTAAGGACTTGGACATTTTCAATCCTTCTATGTGTAAATGACCCGAATGGAGAAAATAATTGACCCACTGACTTTCGTCAAAGAAAGCTTCACTTTGAGCTAATTCGTTATCATGGTGTGGAAATCGAAGATCTACTCCCCCACTATGTATATCAAGGACGTTTCCAAAAATGTTACTAGCCATTGTTGAACATTCTATATGCCATCCGGGTCTGCCTTTTCCCCAAGGAGAATCCCAATAAGGTTCATTTGGTTTTGATGATTTCCACAGAGCAAAATCGTAAGAATTTTTTTTCTTCTTTGATATAACACCTAAATCTCCTTCCCCTTCCAAAATTTTCGTTTCATCCTTCACAGAGAGTGGCTCCATGCGCGCGTAAAAATGTTTGGGGTTTTTTTTAAACGCATCAATGTCAAAGTATACACTACCTTCTTCACTCACATAAGCATATTTATTTTCAATAATTTTTTGTATATACTGAATGATTTGATCAACATATTCGCTCACTCTGGTGATAGCTGTCGGGAGTAGGACATTCAACTTTTTCATGTCTTCCCAAAATTCCCATTCCCATTTTCTTGCTAATTCTGTGAAGCTTACTTTTTCCTCTTCGCTTCTTTTAATAATTTTGTCATCTATGTCTGTTATGTTTATCACCATGAAAACATCGTACTTGAAGTAATTCATGAGGATCCTCCGGATGATATCGAAGCTGACGTACGTCCTAGCGTGACCCAGGTGCGCTGCGTCGTACACCGTAGGTCCACATGCGTACCACTTGATTTGGTCCTTCGCCTGCGAGATGGGGGTAGAGAGTAGGGGTGTGGTGTTGACACTGTTCACAATTCTCATCGATCTTTCCCCCATTTTCTACTCACATCCTCTCGCGTCCTTACCTGAGGAACGAACTCCACCTTGCTGCGCGTCAGGGAGTTGTTCACGAGCAAACCAGTTATTTTCTTGCCCTCCTTGGAAGGCATGTCCCATTGGGGTAAGCTACTATTCGTCTCCATGGTGCATTGAAGAGCTTTCCCTTTGGTCACGTATCTGTCCACTTCACGCGTGGGAAAAAAAAAAACAAAAAAAAAGATAAGAAAATAGGGAGAAAATTTAATAGTGGGTATTCGTCACCCTCGTGCATTTACCCCCACGTGCTGTATAATATAGTGAAGGATACACATTCGAATTGTATGTGCTCCTATGAACATACCAAACGTTGTGTGTACTATCGGCACGCTTTCATCTGTGCAGTTACATAAGTTACGAATACCCTTTTGGTAATTATTTTATTTATTTATTTTTCCTTACAGTGAAAAAAATGGTACCCCTTTCGATGAAATGAGTTGCGAATAAAAAACATCCCCCGGGTTCTCCACGGGGTCTTCCTCTTGGTGAAAATGAGCCTCTCAGAACGGATTGGTAATGACAGGGGACTCGTGTTGCGCCCACTGCTGCGAATGCTCCTCGAAAGCTTTAGCGATGTAGAGAAGTTCTTTTTGTTCGAAATTGCGAAAAGGGCTAAGTATATCAAAATGAAAAGTTTCATTTAATTTTTTTTACACATATATAGGCTGTATATATGCATATGCAGGGATGAGGGACGTGCAGGGCTCAGCAACGATCTCCCTGTTGCAGCTCTTCGCGCGGAGTTAGCGGCAGTAAGGAAGAAACAACATTGGACGGAAGGCGTAGTGAATGTTCTGATGAATTATCGTCCTTACAATTGCTACTGTTATCGTTATGATAATGTTAATATAGCCCCCCAAAAAATCAAGCATAACGAGGGAAAAAAAAAAAAAAAAAAAAAAAAAAA